ATTACTGTTCCTATTCGTCGTTCATCTAGTATATCAAAAGAATTAGCCAATCTATCAATTTATCATGATTCTCAAATAACTAGTGGGAGAACAGGATCGTTTTCTGATATTGAAGGTGCTCGTTCATCATCATTTGGTAATCATCCATATAATAATCCACCATCATCAACAATTGGTCAAACAGTAACTGATAGCTTACCATTAGATCGTCTCCGTCCACGAACAAAATCAGCTCATCAATCAAATGCAATACGACAATCAAAACAATTACAAAAAGTTCCTGAAGTCATTCAAGCTTTACGTGCTCCAACAGCTAATAATGGTGGAAGATCAGAACCATCAGCAACTGAAGAACTTTATCGATCACGTTTATTACGTTGTAATTTTCTTTTAAAACCTGATGCAGTTGGTTATGAATATGCAAGACGTATACAAGAAATAAGTCATGCAACTTATACATATATAACTAATAGTAATAATACGAATACGAATTATTTTGATCATGATAATGTTTCAATGATTAGTAAACAAGATGATTTTTTATCACCATTTCATACATATATATCAAAATTTTATAAGAAAATGTATGAAGCACATAGTATAAGTAATCAACAAGTGGATAAATTTACAACCGACGATGGGTAAAATATTATTTTTTTTTTGGTCTTAAAAATAATTAGCTTTATTTTATTCTAGAAAATTTTGTTTGGAACAACGTGATTTAGATGATGCTGATGAAGATGGACATACAATTTATCGTGGTTTAGCTGTACCAGTCGATATCCGACAAGTTGTTGAGGTAAGAATTTAAACTAAATAAAATTCATGATCAGTTTATTTGGCGTTGCCAAGAAATCCGGAAAAATTTTACTTGAAGTTTATTAATCATAGGAGACACAATAAGTAAAAGGTGGGGGCATATTAGACAGAATCTGATAAGCTTATTTCTTCGAAGTCACCAGAAGTGAGAGTCCACCGAGAAGCTCAGCGCGATCGATATTGTCGTTGTAGCAGCGGGGGTTCAGGGTGTGGATGGGTGTGGGTGTGAGTGTATAGGTATGAACTACTTTGCTTCTACACTAACACTCGCACCCACACTACAAAACCTTTTGAGGTGGTCTATTTCTTTTCCAGATTACTTAACATACTTATTTATTTGAGTATAATTTCGTATAGATATCCGATGGTTATAATTTGAATTTTGAAACTTGGTCTGATCTTGTTCGTGCACGTTCCCGTGCTAATACAAATGCTGATCAAATACGTACACGTAGTACTACGAATGCATCAAATAGTTCTGGAGGTTATTATTTCTTATTAAATTTCTTATAAATATTTTTATTAATTTTCAAAAAAAAA